AACCTCTGTAACAAGAGTCCTAGGATATTCCTCGGTTGTAAATTGCCATCCAGTAGTGCATTTTGTAGACATGTTTCTTATTAATGTTACAGCTTCAATCACTCTTGCGATCTGTAATTTAAATTAATATTTCCTTTGAAATATGTTAGCAGTGATAAAAAACTAGTGGTCGCCCGTGACTCCGTACGAGCGGAATTAAAAAAGATATTATTAGCCTATGTGTTCTACCAGACTTTGATCTTTATGCATGCCAAAATTCATCAAGATCCGTTCAACAGTTTTAGAGATATTTTCAAACAAACAAACATCCATCCATGCATCTAAACATTCGCATTTATAATATTATTAAGTAAGATACCTTGTAAGTGATAATCTTACTTGTTTCTCACGTTCCTCGATTCCAACCGCTTGCATTAGATATTTAGTTTTTATCATCTGATGATCACCATCCTTGTTAATTATTTCACTTCTGAGAACAAGAATATTAACAAAGTATAATATTTAATTTTATCCAGACCTCACTCTCGTCATCACCATCACCACTTTGTCTGACCACTGCTGACCTTAGGCCTTCCCCAATGCCTTCATTGATTTCAATTTGTACTGCGATTGTAATTCATACAAATTTCAACGTAACTCTCAATATAGATATAATCAAGAGTTGATCAATTTGCTCGTTTTTAAGTTCCTTTCTAAGTGAAAACGTAAAGTTGCTTATCCTTTCGTATGTTAACTGTCAAAATGTCAAAATCGGCCCATCTGTGAGTCCCAATACAGGACGCTCACACAGACAAGAAAAAAATTCGAGCGTCCCAAATTGGGACGCTTCACATACAAGAGGTTATGGGCTAACACATAAAATTGAATGCACCGAGATTTTGTTTCTTCATACTAAGATTACCAATATTCTTCATATCAAAATCTCACCTTTCATCAACATAATCATTTAACATTTCAAACAAAGTAATCTCGTCAAATGTATAGCTGGAACACCATTCATAGACTCCATTATGTTTTGGTACTGTCAGTTCTTTAAGTAATCTATCTGGTAGCGACAGATTTTGTAGCACACGTGGTGGCGAGCACCAATGCTCCGGTGTGGCGTTGGTAAACACCTGTAATCAAAACATAATTCTTTGAATAACTTCTGATATATCTTGATCAATATTGCGATCTTTAGACCGCATTCACATAAAGAAATGGACTGGCTTAAAAACGGAGTATTATGTGCCTTTGATTTTTGCCATTTTGGCGCTGATGGTAGAGGTTTGTAGCGGTGTTATGAAATTGAACTATTATAAGCTAGCGGTCGCCCGCGACTCCGTACGCGCAGAATTAGAAAAAAAAATTAAATAGGAGCCTATGTGTTCTTCCATACTATGTTTTATATGTATGCCAAATTTCAACGAGTTCCATGCATTCGAACTTTTAATATTAGAAAGATTGAATCAACTGTCACGTGACATAAACATGCGCGTTTAAATCGAAACGTAGCAAAATCTGTTATTTCCAATAAATCGGTGTTAGACCGGTTAAATTTAAATTAAATGTAATAAAAATATAAGTTAAAATATTGCGAATAAATGAAATTGTTTCAAGGTTAAATATTTTAGCTACCAGTATGTCACTATCTTCAATATCTCATTAAAAATCAAGAATCATTGACAAGTATAACACATGCCACTCGTAAATAACTCATGTCATAAACATTGTTGTGTTGTTTACAAATGGAATACAATTTGAATAATATTATGCAGTTGTTTACTTATAATCACGAAGTACTCGGACGTAAATAGACTACTCGACGTTTGTCCTATTTGAAGTGCGATTAATATTCAAAGGTCCATGTTCTGTAGTTATAAATGACTACAGTTATTTGTTTATTATATTTGAGCAAAATTATTAAGTTATCATGTTCCATTTTATTCAATCACTAGCTGTCGCCCGCGACTCCGTTCGTGAGGTATTAAAAAAAACTTAAATAGTAACCTTTGTTTTTTTCCAGACTATGTTCTATGTTTATGCCAAATTTTAACGAGATCCATGCAGGCGTTCTGGAGATATCTTCTGACAAACATTCATCCTACATCTAAACATTCGCATTTATAATATTAGTAAGATTATGTTCCGCGAAATTCTCTCTACTCATTTTCACCAGAAACTCAAGTACCTAGAAAAATATAATATTTTGATGTCATTCACAATATTTATATACAGTAATGGAAGAACAAACAGCTTTCTCTACAAAAAAGTGAAGTGTCCAAAATAGGCGTAAGTAAATATATAATAAAACAGTATAAGTACAAAAAAACTGACTATAAAATCCGTTTAAATTCACAATTTTCAAATAAATCTATATAGTTTTTACGGACATACCTGAGAGAAGACTAAAAATGAAGTCGGTATAGCTGCTAGACTACAAAGAAGATAAAACAGGAAAATATGCCATGTTCCTTTGCTCGTTGCCAACACGGCTGCTTCATCCAATTCCTTAGTCCAAGATGTCATTTTGGTTCCTTATATTACGTTTCTTGTTTATATATATTTTTAAATGGAAATAATTGTAACATTTCCGTTGAAAAAAATCTTTTCAAAATTTATGTTACTGGACGGAAATAATTTTAGATTTATTTAAAACACAAATCACTGGCTGAAATTAATTTGACATATGCTTAAAACATAATTCACTAGCTGAAAATAATTTGACATTTATAGAACAAAATTAAAAAATATATCACATTTTCCCGCCTATTCGTAGCGTGAACGTTGATCAGATTAGTTGCAAAATGTGGTCGACAGTTGTTCCAACAACTACCACTGCGACATTCACACTGAATTAATGTATGCAAATATCACTAAAGACTGCCTTTTACTACGCGCCAACGAATACCTTGGAATAAGAAATTATAATAAAGGGTTAGCAAACGAGTTTAACATCAATATAAATAAATTTGATATAACCATAAAATCGTAAAAAGTATTTCGTAGTTGCCAAAGTGTGAAATAATAGAATAGTATTCTTACTAGAATTAGAAATTTGAATGTTTGAATGAATGGATGCATGTTTGTTAGTAGTTAGCTCCAGAATTACTGCAGGAATTTTGATAAATTTTAGTACAGACATAGAAAAGTACTTAATAATTTTTTTCTTAGAATTCGCATGGACAATGTCGCTGTCAAAAGCTAGTATATATTAGCAAACACAGTCGATGGAGTACTAGAAATCACATTTACTTTATTATTTTAAGTACTAAGGACATTCCTAAGCGCTTTTGATTATAAACGCGAACCAAAATTATTTTGGAATTTTTAATTCAATATTACTGGTCAGCTATTTCCTTTGTCTCGTACGTCTAATAAATACTTCATATCATAAATAACAAAGATCAGACACATAATTTATGACGATTCGTTCCGCTGACAGCAATTGTCCCACTTTAGTGACCGCCGACCCTCTACGCTAGGATATCTTTAAGGTCATAATTAATTCTATTCTAGTAAACTGTCGTGCTTAAGTATGCAACGACTGCTTGTTTCCAGCTTTTTCACTGATACAACATAACTCACGAACAAGACCAGGAAGGGTAGGTAGCGGTTATAGTTTTCTATCTGGCGCTATCCTGTGACATCTCTCTAGTTTCTTCCACATTCATACACTCATTTGTTTCATATGCTCTTAATGTCACGTTTTTAAGTCTAATGAAAGGAAAAAAATGTTCCAGGAATTCCATAAATCTTATCTTATATCTTTAAATGAGCGATTCTTGTATATATATAATTGGAATCTCGGAATCAGCTCCAACGATTTTCATAACCTTTAGTATATAGGGGGTTTCGGGGGCGATAAATCGATCTAGCTAGGAATCATTTTTAGAAAATGTCATTTTATTCGTTTTTTATCGATAATCAACTTAAACATAAACTTAACTTTTTCTATCGGTAAGATCGAAAAATATTATTCGTATTTCATCATTTTATTAGTAATTCGTACTAAAATATAATTTCCAAAAAACACAATTAAAAAAAATACCGATTTGCTCGGCTCAGTCATCCAGGTCCTTATTTTCATAGACCTAACCTACACCGATTGATAGATTGATATGCTGATATATTTACTTTTTCTGAATTATTTTGTCTATTGGTACATCTAATATTACTTCTTACTATCTTATCTTACTAATATTATAAATGCGAATGTTTAGATGGATAGATGTTTGTTTGAAGATATCTTCAGAACGGCTCAACGGATCTCGATGAAATTTGACATACATATAGAACATAGTCTGGAAGATCACATAGGCTACTGATTATGTTTTGTTTTATTCTGCGCGGGCAGCGTCGCGGGCGACAGCTAGTTGTATAATATTCTGCCATTTATTGACGCCATTGTCACGTTTTGATACAGGTGATTAAAATTATAATATACGGTAACAGGTAAAATGTGGTAAGTAGACTCCGTTTCTACTAGCGATCGCGAAAATCTGAGCTTTTTCTCGTGAATTTTTTTTCAATTTCAAAAGCGTCAGTTAAATTGTTTTACTAACATGATGATTTGGATAAGATGGCATTTACTTGCATACTATAAAATCCAAATGGTCAATCAGCTATGCGGGTTCGGACCTTCAATTGAAGATAATTTGACGTCGTTTAATCGACGGAAGACGACGCGGAATTCCTGACGCAATTGCTTTCGTACGGACATAACGATAATTATTTAGGAAATATTACGAATATTTTTTCTATAATCTTGAATAAATACGAGTTAAATTTGAGTGAAAGAGAAAGGAAAGAAAGTGATAAATTATTTAAAACTATCTCACTAATAATATAAATGCGAAAGTAAAGATGGACGGATGGATGTTTTAGAAGGTATCTCCAGAATGCTTTTAATATGCTCGCGTGCATCACCTTCCCGTCAAAGTCCCGTCAACATCGGTCCAGCCGTTCCGGAGATGATCCGGAATAAACGAGACCTTGTGGACACTTATCCAGACATATAAACGAAAATTGCATTTTTATTATCACCTATGCAAATACGTGAACGTACAGACACTGCAATTTATCTAATACATCTGTGTAAATACGAAAAATGTATTAAACTTTATTATTTGCAATGAATTTTCAGGGACGTTATAACTTAACTGTGGTAGAGCCCGCTTTAACATCTTTGCACGAATTGGCCCAGCTCGCCCAGTGAAAATACCACGACCACACAGCACAGGCGTCAAGTGGATGCAATTCCGCGTTTCGTCTGATGAGTGTGCGTCCCGGAGGCCTAATTTAGCCCTCTTTCCCTTTCCACCCTTTATCTTATAAGCAAAGGATGTGGGCTTTCCGGATAAGAGAATGCATAGAAAGGGAATATATTTTGTTTCTGTGCATCCTCTCCTCCGTCGATTAAAGGTAGGCAACGCATGCAATACGTATATAGGCAACGGTCAATTCGCTATTTCAGCGATTTCAGTTGGCCGCTCGCTTGTTTGCCACCTTGTGATATAAAAAAAGCTTGCATCCGTTTCAAGTATGCATATTTAATATTACATTATAGAGAGGATATTATGAATCAGACCGAACTCTCAAACTCTACTCCTGGTAGAGTTAAGGTTTTTCACTTTGTCCCTTGCGATAAATAAATATTTATTGAACCAAAAAAAAAATTACAATTTATTAGGACTCTGTCTCCTGTTGCAGGTGAGCTGTGGTCCAGTAGGTAGTGCTTTTTTATCTTAAATAGGTTCTAATCTATGCATTATGTATGTGTGTGTGCGCTCGTGTTTATGCTTTAGATAGACAGCGGTATCTACTATTATGATCGATGAAGGAATAAATCTTACAAGGAAAGTGCTTATATGTCCGCTCTGTAACTAATATCATATTTTAAACTCTTTGGTTTCCAGTCTAATTATATTTTTGAAACTTGAATATTTTCATATATTCATAAATTTTTTAATTGTATTCAGTTGCTTTTATTAAAACACAAATAACAATAAAAACTGTGTGGTTGTTGGGTTGTAATTATTTATCTATTAGACAATTGATGACGAATAATAAGTGTGTATGAAGAATAAATATTGAAGTTTCCATTTGAATAATTACATCGCCAACATTGAAATTAATTGTAACCGTGAACGCTTCTATTGCCGCGTCATTTTTGTTCACATACTTTCGTCTCTGTTTTATACAAGGAAAATGAAAGGGATAAGTGTTTAGGTCAGTAGGAGCATATACAGGACTTCGTAATTACAATACGTGCATTATGGTGTTGTCTCATGCAATAGCCACGTGGTGATGGGTTTGGATCCCGTCTATCGCTGTCATCAAACATATCCTAGCAAAATTATAAAGCTTCAGTTGATAAACTAAATATTAATTTTGCAAGTCGGATTGAAATGCGGGTGTAAAATAATAGACATTTTCAAATAATTATTTTAATAAATTATATATAATTGACAATATGAATTTCAATTGCCAAAAAAACTGACCGACTGTATCATAATAAAACTCCGGAAAGAAGACGGTTTGATATTTTGACATAATTGGGTCTACTGTATAGGGTACAGGCGGCCACAATTCATATTTTAATTCTTAAAGTTCTAAAAATTAGGCGCCAAAACAAAAGAACAAAAGGTTACTGTCATCCCTTTCATTTTCTTTGAACAAAAAGAGATGACAATAAACTAGAGAAACTCGAATTGTAGCAGAACCACAATATATGTAGCATAGCCAGAGAGCAACGTAAGAGGAAGTGTTGCATCCACAGTCAGGACGACACTGGTCGTCATCTTCTCGTAGGAAAAAGCGATGTCTATCAGTAGACTTTCATACTTCGAATTAATATCTGGGAAGAAATACAAACATTGTTAGTGTCGGCATTTAATATTTATTACCAGATGAGATTGTGAAGAAGATTTAGTATAGAAATTTACTATTTGAGGGAACATTATTCTATCGCGACGTCAATTTAAAAAACATCTGAGCACCTGACTTAACTTTTGACAATTGCAGGACTTTTTAATAGTATTAGGCAAACGAGTAATTGGCCATCTTAATTCATCGAAATAGCGAAGTGGCGTAGCCCATTGACATTTGCAGATGCCTACCTGAATTCGGCAGAAAGGGTGACGCACAAAAAGAGGACCTATTCGTCCCCAAATCTATTTCCCTTCACATTCTTTCCTTTTAGACAAGTTTAGAAAGGGAAAAAGAGCCTCCACATATAATCACTTGACGTGACAGTTGAGCCGTCCCATTCGTGCAACAAATGTTGCAGATTATATCATTGTCGACTGCTCCGTTACATCTCTTCTCAGTTAGAAGTTTGTTACCTTTATAATTAACTCACCTTTATTGATTTCGTTCGTCGTATTATCAAGGACAGTAGCTTGAATATTTTTCACCATTAGTTTCAGTAATTCCGAGTTGTAACATGTCATTCCAAATTGACATGTATTTTTTATTATCCAAAAAATTAATAATATCCAAAACATGTTATTGGGTAGGCTGTGATACTAATTAAAATAATTATTTAATAATTGAATTTTATATCAAATTACTATTACATACGACGTAATCAATATTTATTATTACATACC